CACTAAACAATAGATAAATACAAGAAAAAAAGATAAATTTTTTAAAACTATTTAAATACATTTGAGCTTGACCAATAACAAGGTGGAAAAGCTCTTCTCTATAAGTTTATATACTAAAGGCTACACTCTTCAAAAATCATCCGAATAACGTATACAAAAGCCCTTGCCAGCAGGGATATGTAAACAGATTTTTGCACCAGTCAAATATCCGTGTTAATCCGAAGAATAAATGAGAGTTCACTTCCTTTCGAAATTTTTATATCTACATCACTTAATCCTCGAGGCTAACGTGTTCGATATTCGCCAGCGAATAGAATCTGGGACTCACCTCAATTTCTTCAGCTAATCCGATAATATCTTGTAATGATGGATCATATCTGATCACCTCTCCTGAATCATCCAAATCTATACCTTCATCGGATAGAGCGTTACGGATCCCTAACCTAATGGATTCGACTTCACGCTAACGTTACAGTAAAGAATGAAATATTAAAGGTTTAATATAAATATAAATATTTCAAAAATATATATATATATATATATATATATATAAACATAAATTGAATAACTACCTTATAATTCTCGGCATTGTCAAAATCTTCATCTTCAACGGACTGCTTTTTCATTACTTCGAGGTTGCATACGTCTTTGGCAGCCTTGAAATTAATGGATTTGTATTAGATTAATCATAAAACGAAAAGCAACCATCTCATTTTTTTATTAAATTTTTACCTTCTTGATCATTTCAGAAAAAACTTTCAAAACTTTAGCCAAGTGAAAATCTTCAACTATAAGAAAAAAAATTTTTTTTTTCGAAATTTAATTAACGACCAAATCATCTTAAACAACGCCAAATAAAAAAAAACTTGCCTTTAACCGCGTTTTGTTTTGCTCTTCCAAACGCAGCTAACAATTTTTCCGTTTCCTCGCCATTTATCAAGAAATCATTGGCGGTTACCGGGTTATACTTGTTCGTTTTTGCGTCATTGTTGGTGTCATTGGGCAACGGGTTGGTAGTAGTGGAACTGCTAATATTCGCCGCTGATAATGATGAGTTGGGAAGAATAGAATATAGTGATGTGAAATTACTTTGATCATTTGGATTATTATTAATCATCCTATCTTGGATGAATGGGACGATACATGTCTCGGGCGATGCTACACGTGACAGACCTTCGTCAGCATGCTAAGAAAAGACAAAAATAAAGTTAATATGATAAAGGTTGGTAAAAAAGGTATTAATTGAAAATACAAACACGTACCTCGATAGGGATTTTTTGACTTTCACCTGCAAGTAAGTGATCAGCTGGTTCTCCCATAACGGTTATCCCAACTATACCGACCTATAATGAAGATATTAAATCATTATTTATTTTATTTTTATTTTTTGTAATTTCATTACAATTCACCATTCAGCATTAAGTACCTGATTGTACTGATTTAAATGATTTGCATAACAACGACGCGCAACTAATCTTATATATTCGCCTTCAGTATCAAGGCGAACTGATTTTAATTCTCGAGCTTTATAATTAGCTCGCTCGTTGTTATCGAGAGCGCAATATCTATAAAATTTACATATGAAAATTAAAAACAAAAACAAATTATATACTATATTATGATATAGGAGCATACCCTAATCGTCGAAATAGTATATAAGGTTCACTATTCGGCCGAATTATATCATAATCATTTTCTTCGGACGACGATGATGATTCTTCTTCCGGATCTAACCCGTCATTTTCAATAACCTTTGTAAGTTTGTCCCAAGATAATGTCTTTTGTTCATCAATGTTACTTCCAGTATTAGTATTAACGCCTACTATTTCTTTCCTTCGCTGTATAGTCCCGACATATATTTCTAATTTTGTTGCGATCTTATAATGATGTGATAATATCTGCAATTTTCGAATTCGGGCTGATCCACATGACACTTGTAATATTATTTCTTGTGGGTATTTACAAAGTCTTTAATATATTATTATAAATCAAGTTGATAAGTATAAGGGGATAAAGGAAAGTAAGTATAAAGATGGTAAAGTTATAGATCACGTGATTCGATCAAAAGTAGTTACGCCTCTGTGTTGCACAGATCAAATCCCACAATTTTCAGAAAATATTTAAATTAATAAATAATTGTAAATTAAAAAATATTCACCTTGCCGATTGCCATCCCTTGCCATGTTTAATTTCTCCTCCAGGTGAACTTTTGTCTTTTGGCAAAAGTTGATGTGGCGGATAATTATCATCCCAAGTTGATGCATGTATAACTTCGTATTCCAAATGATTTAAGGGCATTGTCGCTTGTGAGGGTGCGGTAATTTGTAATAAGGAATCCAGTTTGTCGTTGTCGTCGAGAGCAACGTAAGTTAACGAAGGCGAAGATGGTTCTTTTGTCTTTTGACAGTCGGTTTTGACTTCAATGTTTGTAGTGTTATTTAAAATGTCTGCAAGTTCAAGCGTCGCGTCTTCGATATTAGGTGGCGATTCTTTAATATCGTCTTCTGTAACACTACTAGTATTTTCAGTTAATTTATTATTTACACCTTTCTCCTCTTCTTGTTCGTTGGCTGGATTGACAACACACTCTAATGCTACTTCCTTCGATAAAGGAGTTTCTTCAATGACAAGAGGGGCTATAGTAGGGTTGATATTCTTATTCTCTTGCGTCTCTGTCTCTACTGTGGTATCAACAAAAGTTTCCTCAATTACAAAATCAGTTGTATCAGAAGGTGATGATGGTTCGTATTCTTGAGACAGTTGATCTTCCTTATCTGGAGATATTTGCGGTGAAAGCGGAACACCACTAATCTGTTGTTGTTCAATCATAATTTAAAAATCGAGAAAGTAAAAGAAAAAAGAAAAGTAATGTTAAGTTTTTAAATGAAATGAATTTGAATGTTTTCTTTTGAACTAGAACTAGTTTTTGAAATAAGAAAGTCCAAATTATATATCAATGATGAAAAAATTTTATTTTTAAATTTTTTTTTTTTGTTTGTTTGTGTTATCGGACCCAGTCTCCAGGCGCCTCTATATATAATAGATTTTTTTTTTTCAATATCAATCTCTTCTTCGAGAAATTAAACTTTTTTTTTTTTTAGATTAAAAAAAGTTATCATCATCATAAAAAGTTGTAGGCACGTGCAATGATCCAAAACTAATCCAAGAGTTTCCCAAATCAATCTTATTATTTTGGCATGGCATGGGCTGAGATTGAGCATACAGCTTTCTTGTGATACTCTTGTGAATTAACATAAATATATCGAAAAGAGAGAAAGAAAAATATGCAAAGAAAAAATATATGCAAAGAAAAAAAAGATCTTACGCAGATGACCAAAATCGGCAATAATCAAACCAAAATGAAAAGTAAAAGAACATAAAAAAAGAAATAAGGTTTGAAAAAAAAATATGTACGGATGAAACCTTACCTGTGAAAATAGTTTTGAAGGGTGATTGAACGGATACTATTAAAAATGATTTATATGCAGGTCTTTCGAAGTTGGGATGTGAAGTTAGGGTGTGACCGTCTAAAATAATCGATTTTTTTTTTTAAAGGGAAAAAAAAAAAAAAAATCAAAGATTTAAAAGGTTTGTATATTATTATTATAAAAAAAAAAGTTAGATAAAATGATAAGGGGGAAAAAGAAAGAAGTATATATTATATGAGATAAATTTACATAAATTAAAATAAATTTTTTTTCTCTTTTTTTTTTTTTTCTTTTTCTAATAAGTATTATTAATATGGAAAAAAATTACTAAAATTACTTTTTTTAAAGCTGCATCGAGGAAAGAAAAGGTGATATAGATAGATAGATATATATAAAATAATAATATTATTAGGCTTATTGTTAAAAGAGGGAAAGTTTAAAAGGAGGAGAGATAATAAAAAATAAAAATAAATGGGTTGAGAAAGTCAAAACAAAAAAAGTATAGTTCACAGCAAGTTTGCCTAACTATAAACTCAAATAAATAATGAGAGAACGAAATGACAATCTCTAAAAAGTGAAGGGAAGAGAGTAAAGGAGGTGAAAAGGAAAAAAATTGACACCAATAAGCAACCACACCACCTTTTTGTTGCTGTTGTTTTTTTTGGTCAGATTTTTTTTTTATTATTATAATCTCCTTTAAGTTTTGTATACTAATTACTATAATAAATTTTTGGAGGGATTGATGCAATGATGATTATGAACCAGATACACAGAAATGTCAGACGAAACACAAATATAATGTTTGCCCGAGCAGTTTTTTTTTTTTTTGGTAACATCAATTCATGATTGGTCTTTGTAATTATCGGACATTAAAGTAATACTTAACGTGGCAATTGGAAATAAAATATATGTATTTTGTAATGAAATTTATGTACGATCATATTATATTGTGTTACCAACCACTATACTAAAAATAAATTTTATTTTATACTCACTTTACTTATTTTAATTTATGGCAGAGGATCAAGTTATCGAAAAGAGAAAAAAAAAAAAAAAAATTTGCCAGAAAACCAGCTGGATTAGTTAGGTCGAAACAAAAGGAAAGATACCTTACTTTGGTTATTCTATTCTTTTTTAAACGATTTGCTTCGGGTACAACCAGAAACGTTGAGCATATATAGATAACAAGGTAGGGGGGAGGGGGGAACTTGTAGGAAGAAACTTGGAAGGAAAAAAAGAGAAAAGGGAAAAAAAGGAAAAGATGAATAAAAGATGAGACCATTTATTTATAATCTTTTTAGTTCAAAATATACAAAATTAAAATACCTATCAAATATAAAATTTAGAAACACGACATCTTCAATACCTTGCAAAATATAAGCACAATACTCTTTAGAATACATCATTGTGATCTGAAATGAATAAGGGGGTATAACATCGGCGCAGAATGAAACTCGAGTTAAGATGACTTTATTAGAAATGACCTCGTTACAAATAAGCCCATATTTGGAGTTTATTGACAACTTTAAATTAGGTCTAAACTCAAATTTGAAAGGAAAGTTGATCATTTGATGAGTATTCCTTTTCCTATCTTTAGGAATTTAACCATGTTTTATGAGAGTGTGGATATCTGGTTATAAAGCAGGATTTTAAAAAACTTTTAAATGTTGACTCACCTTCCACAGCCGGAAATCAACAAAAATTTACCAAAATGATTGTCAATGATTGGTATTCTTCAAATCTAATTCTAATGAATTAACGGCGACTTCCGCTCGCGCGTAATTTTTGATATGTGGATTATAAGGCGCAACATTTCTTTGCTAATTTTAATCCTTTGCTGTATTTTGATGTGATACAACAAAAAACAACAAAAAAGCTACCCCAGATAAATTAATTTAATTAATGAAATTAACGGGCAGGAGAAGATCTTTTCACCTCGGCTTTTTCTGATGAATATAGCATAAAATGTTGTGGCATGACATAAATAATACTTGACATCATTTTATCGAATTATATTATTGAAAATCATTTTGTTGAAAATCAAATGATCACAACATTATCAAATGAAAAACATTGAGCTGTCAGGTTATAACAGGTGTGATGGCTATGCTATTGCGTCACCTCGTTCAAATTTCTTAACTTGTTAAAAATCGTCGCTCTTTGCCTAAATTTATTTCGCGATTGTTATCTTTTCCTATTGTCCTTTTTTTCATCCCTCCTGAATAATTTTCGAACAAAAAGTTTTCGTATTCTTCTAAAGTCTTTTTCGAAATATTGTTCAAAATGTCAAAAGTATCAAGCAAAGTTGTGCATATTACATTTATTCATCACATTCTTTTTTTATCATATAACAAAGTATTATGCGCAATACACATGTAAATAGCTCTGAATGTTGAAGGTAATATGTTTTCGTTAATTTTCTTTGTCTAATTAATTGTGAAATCAATAATTTCTTTTCATCATTTTTTGCTTATCTTTTCTTTATCCTTTTTTTTTTTTTTTTTTTTTTTTGTATGATAAAGATGTAATGAAACAGGTTTTATTTTATTTGGTGTTTGTCCTTCTTTGTTAACTAATAAGATTATAAAGAATTATTCAAATGTTTATTGTAAGATTGTAAAGATTGTAAATAATACAAAGTTAAATCAATTGTTACTTATTAAAATAAAAAAGTTTAGTAACGCGTAAAAAAAAAAAAATCCTCCCATACCAATCGCGAGGAATTTTGATTCTCTTACCGATTATGGTGATTGTTATCGTTGTAAAATGCAATCTTTCCACTATACAACTTAGTGAAAATGTATGGTCGTTCGAATCTCTTACGCTAAATCTTTCTTCCCGTTAATCTATTCTCGATCCAATGTGCTTCCACTATTTTTCTTCTTAATATTGTCCCTTTGAATGGCGACTGCGCTTCTTTTCTGTTCACGTGAAGTATCATTGTTTCTCGATTATTACCTAAATGGTTAATCGATTTGTTAGATGATCTAGAAATAGATATAGATCATTTCAGATCTAACGTTGAAATTTGGTCGCTCGAATTCTTTTCCAAGATCATCAGATGGCCGCAGAGAGGTTAGAAATTTTTTTTTTTCAAGTCAAACCTTTTTTTAATTTGAAATATTCGAATATATTTATTTACTTTCTTTTTTTCATAGGAAAATTTTGTTACTTGGTTCCGGATTCGTTGCTGGTCCAACAGCAGAGTATATTTTACGGAGACCTGAAAATAAGTTGACTATCGGTATGAATGTTATTTTGTTTCATTGAGAGGTTATCGTTTGAATTTCGAATATCGAAAATCATTTGATTATCATCTAAAAATAGTAGATCGGGTTTGTTGTTTACTTGTCTCTACACAAAATAATTAAGCCAAATAGAGTTCTTAATGGATTTGAACTGAATGTATGGGCAAAACAAAAAGTTATTGTAAAACAAAAAAAAAAAACAAAAGCAAACAAAAAATTTTGCTGAAAGTTAGTATAGATGCTTACCGTCTCATTCATTCAAGAATATAACTAATTATATTTTAGTGGTATTTCAAAATATAATTTCGGCAATTAATAAAATTAGTTTCGTCTAAAAATAAAAGTTTTGTTCAATCTCGGCTTCGTCAGTTTTAAAGTAGTAGTTCCGGCAAGCATCATTACTGAAATGATTTTCGATATTTGAAATGATCTTCGATTTTATTTATCTTATTTTCAATCGGAAACCCTAAGGTCACTAACAATTTGAATTATTGAATTTAGCTTGTAGGCGCATTACAGCTGCGGAAAGCTTCGCCAAGCAATTCTCTCGCGCCATTCCAATATCACTAGACGTTACTAACGAAAAAGCTCTTGATGAAGTAGTTTCATGCCATGATTTAGTTATTAGGTGAAATTTATCTTCATATATTGGGGGTGTAGGCCGAATTTAGTTACGACCTAACGAAAACACAATTCGTTCTATCGAAATAAGATTTAAGAAATTTCGTTACAAAGTCAGATCCATCAAATTTTAAAAATCTGGATTAAAGATTTTACATGGATCGAACGTCCTTTATGTATATAACATTATTAACCTTTTTTAATTTTACTCTTAGCTTGATCCCATATACATCTCATCCATTAATTATCAAATCTGCAATCAAGTTCAAGAAACACGTGGTCACAACTAGTTATGTCTCTCCTGCTATGAAAGAATTCGATGCTGCGTAAGATCCTCTTTATAGATGAACCTTTTATTTTCTTATTTTTTTTTTTTTATTTTAAAATCGATAAATATTGTGTAGTGCTAAAGAGAATGATGTGACCATTATGAACGAAATTGGTCTTGATCCTGGTAATTATAATAAATGGATAATGTGGTTTCAATCCCTAAAATTCTTCATTGACTTTTTTTTTCGTACTTTCAAGGTATTGACCATCTATACGCGTTGAAAACTATAAATGAGGTTCACGCGGCTGGTGGCAAGGCAAGCGTTTAACTAAATATGCGTTACTTTTAAAAATCGGTATTTTTAATTGAACTTTAACGTTCCTTTTAGATCATATCCTTCATTTCCTATTGTGGTGGTTTACCCGCTCCGGAATGCTCAAACAATCCTCTTGGATATAAATTTAGTTGGTCTTCTCGTGGTGTTTTACTGGCATTACGAAACTCTGCTAAATTTTACCAAGACGGGAAGGTGAATGACAAAAAGTAATTGTTATTTCATCAAATATTTGATTCATATTGGTTAACAAATTCAATCTTGTAGGTTGTTGAGATCCCCGGAAGTGAATTGATGTCATCTGCCAAACCATATCTTATTTATCCGGCCTTCGCATTTCTAGCATACCCTAATCGTGATTCTACATCTTTTAAGGATTTCTATAAGATTCCAGAGGCTCAAACTGTTATCCGTGGTACACTGAGATATCAAGGGTTCACGGATTTTGTTAAAGTTTTAGTTGAGATTGGTTTGTTGGATGATACAGAACAAAATTATTTGCGAATCGATTCACCGGATATCACTTGGGTTAGTAAACAATTTGTTTTCTTCATGATTACTGGATTTATTTATTTATTCATTTTTTTTTTTCGCAGAGAGATCTTTTGGCCAAAGTACTTTGTATATCAAGCAATGCGGAAGCGTAATTAATCCAACTTTAAGATATATTTGCTCTTTATCAACCCATCAAACATTTTTATAACGGGAAAAAAAAATAATTTTTTTAAAATTATAATTATTAGTGACCTTGGGAAAGCCATTATTGCAAAGAGTGAAATAAGTGGAGAAGAGATTGAAAGGATCCTTAAAGGATTCAAATGGCTAGGACTGTTCTCAGATAATCCAGTTATTCGTCGCGGTACATTACTTGATACTTTATGTGCCACGTTGGAAGAGAAGATGCAGTATGAACAAGGAGAACGTGATATGGTTATTCTTCAGCATAAATTTGAAGTTGAATTAAAAGATGGAACAAGAGTATGTATTTTATTAAGATTATTTTTTTTAAAAAAAAAAAAAAAAAGATGAAATTTTATTTATTCATTTATTTATATATCGAATTCTTTTGTTTTTTTCTGCTTAGGAAACTTGGACATCTACATTATTGGAATATGGAAAACCACAAGGTCCATCTGCAATGGCAACCACAGTCGGAATTCCATGCGGTATCGCTGTTCAATTGATATTGGATGGTAATTTGATTACTTTTATTATTTTTAACTTTTAATTCTTACGCGTTCAGTTATTTTATATTCATATTAATATAATTATTTTTTTAAAAAATTTTAATAGGTAAAATTAAAAAGAGGGGTGTTTTTGCGCCATATACACCAGAAATAAATAATCCTGTAATTGCGGAATTAGAGAAAGAAATGATTAAAGTTAAAGAAGAAAAGTTATAAAATGATTTATGTGTATTAAATACTTTTTCGTGAATCGTTCACATCATCAGCAGAAACATGAGAAGGAAATATAAATCAAAAGTAATCAAATAATAATAATAATAGTATAGGTTAAATACTATATATTTTTTTTTAAAAAAAAAGATAACAATAAATAAATAAAATAAAAATGGCTTTGTAATCTCGTAATTTAACATTCACAATGATAAATTGTTTTTTTTTATTAATATTTAAAGCAATAATTAAAATTTTGATATTAAAGCAAAGTTAAATTTAGAATTAATTGCACCTACATATTAAATCTAGTAAAATTTTATTTAAAGTTTTATATAACTATTTAATTCAAATTATCACTAATATTCATTTTATTTGCTATCAATATAGTTTAACAAAAATTATTTACAAGAATTTGTAAAAATTTTTTTTTACAAATTTTCTTTAATAATTTTCTAGTAGAATTACAATAGCAAAATGTAATTTTAAAACAAAATCATCTATAATTTCAACATTAGTATATATGATTTCTCTCATATTTTTATTTTTAATTACATTTAAATAATAATTTATAATATTTTCAATTATATTTTATAGTTATAATTAAATCATTTATTTATAAATTTTTAATCAAATTTTTAAAAATAATTATATTAATAAGTTTTAATAAAAAATACTTTCTTTTAATTAATATCTTCTTTTTTTATTATCATTAACTTTATTAATTCTTTTTTATTACTTTTTATATTATATTTTATTTTTTTTAATAATCTTATTTTTAAAATTTATTTAAAAATATATATACACACACAGGACAAAAGTATTCAGATACTATGCAAATTACTAAATTAATTGGGTAAAGTTGGATATAAGTAAACTTTTTTTTTATTAATAAATGTAACTTCAGTTTTATAAGTAAAGTTATTCATCATAATATATCATGTAATACATAAAAATTTCAAAGAATTTAAGTAAAAATTGGTCGAACTATAATAATTTAAAATTTATTTTAAATAATACATTTTCTAATAAAAACTTTATTTATAGTATAACATTAAAATGTTTGATCTTAACGTAATTTTTATTACTAAGTAACCTTTTTTGTTATTATTTGAAATATATAATTATAAATTTTTTTATAAATTTTATTAGATAGTTATGAAATAATATAAAAAAACTAAAAAAATTTAAAGAAATTTTTAGCTATATTACAACATTATAATCTTTAATAAAAATACATAAATTTTAACTATTCATTAGCTTATATTAATCTAAAAATAATACTAATATAGCGTAGAATACCCCTTATGTTTTATTACAGCCTTAATTCTACGAGATATACTTTCAACTAACTTTAATAATCTTTCAGGTTCAATTTGGTACCATTCTTCTTTAAGAGCAGCTAAAAGTTCCGACTTATTTTTTGGTTTAAAACTACGCATCCTGACCTTTCTTTCCAATACATCCCACAAATTCTCAATTGGATTGAGGTCAGGACTCTGTGCTGGCTAAGGAAGTGATTAATGTAAATTTTCTTCTTTCTAACCTTTTGTGAATCGTGCTACATGTGCTGGAGCATTATCATCTTGAAAAGTATGGCTATTAGGTCTAAGTTCATTAAGAAAAGGTAAAAGATAATGTTTAAGTAATTCTACATACTTTTCAGCATTTAATTTTCCCTCAATTAGTACTAATAGTCCTATTTTAAAGTTGCAAAAATACCTCCAAACCATAACTCCTTCTGACTTTTGAACTGTTGGAATTAAACAATCTTTTGCATATGCCTCATAAACCCTACATCAAACTCATTGATTAGCATCATTTCTAAATAATTCAAACGAGATTCATGACTAAAAATTATAAAATTCCATTCATCTTGCCAACTTTTCTAATATGATACCAAAGTAAACGTTTTTTTTTATTTACATCAGAAACTAAAGTTTTTTCCTACCAGTACGCCCATAATAACCCATAGAATGCAATGCTCGCTTAACAGTTTTACTACTTAATGAAATATTAAGACCCTAGTTAAATTGTTCAGTAATTTTTTTCACAGCTTATTTACAGTTTCGTCAGACTATTCTTCCTAGTTGACGTTATCTTATTCTAATAAAGCTGGAGGTTTACCACTCCTAGGTGCAGTATCAGTGCAGTTTTCTTTATTGTATTTCGTAATTACATTATGGACAGTAGATTTTGGTCTGCCAAGAATTTCTGAGATATTTCTTATGCTATGTCCGCCCTTTGATAAACCTACGATTTCTTCACGCTCAAAAGGTGTAAGCTCGCAGGTTTTTGGTATCTTTATATATTGAAATAATTATTTATAAAAAAATTTTTTTTATTTAAAAAAGTGAAGCCGTGGGATTCTAGAAAAAAAAAGAATAACGAATTTAGTTAGAAATTGGGCGTTCTATTGTTATTTATTTTTTTTTTTTTATTAATGTGCGATTGGCTTAAGAGAACATTAGGAGGAATACTTATTTACTAAGTAAAATTACCCTCAACATGACCCTTTTAAGTCTCCGATCCTCAATTAAGGATACGTAACTTAGCACTAGAAGCACATCCCCGCTAGTTACCACCTAGTTAGATCACCTATAACAGCTATACCCACAATTACAAGCTCACTAGACCGTCAGGTACTATCATCTTTGGATAAAGGGTTCACTTCAACTATAGAGCTTGTCACACCCTATTTTTACCAATCTAATTTATAGAGTTTTACCCTATTGATGACTACCGAGACCATAGAATCAGGTCCTTTACATAGATGGTAGTTTTGTACCTATAACGTCAAATTCACCTAAGAATTGAACCTAGCCTCTATCCCTAATGATAGTTCAATTGGATGGTATTGTAGCGTGCAATGCAGTCTATTATTACTATAGCCAGTGTTGTACACCGGACACTGTCCGCCGAAATTGAGCAGACACGGACATTCCGGGACATGTCCAGGATTTTCATCTGATCACATGTCCCGTATTACCATTGTCAATCGGGACGTGTCCGCCATTTTTAAGTTGTCCGGGACAATGTCCGCCGGTCTGCGCTAAGCCACAAAAGATTTTTTTTTAAATAATTTCAAATATGCCGTTTCCCTCTATATTAACTAAATATATTGTTAAAACAGAAGAAAAAGTTAATAAAAGCAATCTCAAAACCTTTTGTAAAGCATGCATAGAAGTGCTTGGAGAAGAA